TTTCAACGCGCTTAAAGATTGTTGTAGGCTAGTGTCTGTAATGATGATACACGGTAATCAGCACCTGACAAGTGTGACCATTGGGAAACTCACCGCTAGTATTTCGCAATACAGCAAGATGAAAGTGCCGACTCGCTTCGCCTGCCAAGACACTGGGATGCATGTTGAAGCATCGCATGAGTGCTGCTCCAAAAACCTCCTGATGAAGGTCATGGAACACTCGTTTAGAAATCTTTGAAGTACAATTATATCAGTATGAAGTTGAACGGGGAACATCAACTCACTGAGGACCTGGGACAAAATGGCTGACTGAAAGTACCGATATAGTACGGGTCATAAGTGCCGATAGGCTGAAGGGCCTGATCTGAGTAATCGTGGATGTCTGAGTTGACACCTGTTTCATCGATGTCCTGGATGCTCATCGCTGCAGGCCCGGGATCACGATGGTCACAAATGAGTGGGATAGACGCCGACTCATGCTTTATACACTAAGCATCAAGCACCTGCAAGTGATCCAGTCCTCCAGGTGCCAGCATCTCGGAATCGACCAAGTGCGCTCGAACACGATTGAATGGCTATTCAATAGCATGACTCACTGGCGGGAATGAAGCACAAGCGGTGGAGTAATGGCGATCTGGGTGTGGAGCTTTCCATTTGAGAAAAATACGCACATATTGAGTTAGCTTGGGCGAGAAAGAGTTACGAACATCGTAGAGTCACGTACACATATAAGCTTCCGACTAGTATGTACGTCTTCGAGATGAGTTGACCATGATATGCACGGTACAACAGGCTGGTCACGAGCGTAATTGGCGGATCTTTCAGCTTAGTAAGCAATTACCTGAATCTCAGAAACTGAAATCTCCTTAATTCAGTGGATTTACACATCTTGGTGTTGCACTTGTCTCACATGCCCATGATGTAGTTAACAACTTAACAATATGGTTGTACACTGCGGTCATGCGCACAGTGTGTTAGCGGGTGAACTGGAAACATTTGATCTAGAATAATTGAATATTGGCAAGTAAATATACAGCGAATTAAATTTTATTGTAAGTTCTTAACCAGAGTTAGCTAGAATGGTTTCCCCTAGGCCTGCTTGAGGCCTGCAGTTCTCAAAACTTTTGATGCATCATGATGTCTTGTGTATGCAAGAATTGTGAATTGTGAGTTCTGAGACTACTGAGTACAGCTGAGAAGTGCTTACCTATGATACAGCTGTACTACTAACTTGAAGATTCGGAAACAAAAAAAAAACTGTTGACAGCTGACTCAGCCTGCGCAGATTGCGCAGGCTATAATATAGGTGGATGTGGCACCCATGAGAGGCACATCTGCATCATCATGCCCGTTACTACCCGCCTTTTATCGTCAGAGGCATGCAATAGTGCCTATGAATGCAGGTTTCAATCACCTTCTACCACATCATTCAGAAGGTCCTACTCGCAGGGTCTTGAGAGCAAAAGGAACACCTTTGTGCAAAGTCCCTCCCCAAATACCCCCCCCCCAACAACTTGAATAATGCCACTTCATTGGATTCACCATCAAAATCCAAGGTTCAAGTTAACAAATATCCAGCACCAACACCTTTGCAGAGGGAGGCATCCTCCAAACCAGCCGATGAATGTGTCCCAAGAGATGGTGAGTGTGTTGAGCGCTTGGCGCATCACACATTGCACCACACTCACCCTAGCGAATAGTAGCAATAGACTTGCGCAAGCGGATTATCGCCGCCATCAGAGATGCCGATAACGCGGAAGAAGTCGAAGTATGTAATCATCCATTTCGTTATCTTCAATTGACTCACGGCTCCACAGGAATTTTTCAATGTGTCAAAAGACGATTATCATTATATTTTAGATGCTATCGATGAAGATGATGATGAAGATAAAGTAATACGCAAGTAAGTACTCTGATATATCCATATCCATCCAATCCTGAACTCATCTGTTTACCTCCATCAGACTCGTATACGCTGAGGAACTCAAACTCCTTACCGCCACCCTGCCTAACCGACTTCATCAAGCGTACCTTGCCCCGATGAGCGCCACACTGCTCGGCGCCGTGGGGTCGATAGGCATCCCTTACCGATTCGGGCAGATCCGCATTCAAACCGACATTCATCTTCTCAGCGCCGTTGGCCTCAAACTTGGAGTGCCGGACATGTTGATGGAGTACAAGGACCCGGACGGTGATTGCATCCCCCTCTGGGCCACTGAAATCAGTGCCTCCCAGACGAAGAAATCGGCGACAAGGAGACTCGGCGGCTTCATGAAGGATCGCGGGGATCTCCTCGCCATCACGTCCATCGACGTGAAAGAAAAGAAGAAGCATGTGGGGCCCCGGTCAGGGTCAGAGGCGGTTGAGGTCTTAGAGGAACACGGATCAGTCTCAACGTTTTCGCAGTGGCTGTCGCACACGGCCCCCAACGACGAGGACCCTACCGTCATGAAAACATTCCGTCACGTCTGGCAGCATCCTATCACCGTGACGATAACAACGTGGCTTCGCCGCCCGACGGCAGTTTCAGTATTAAGGAGAAGAATCCCGATCTTTGCGCAACAGCGGTACGATCAATTCTCTCCTTCAATCCATCTTCTGACCAATTACAGGACTTGTTTCCTGAGCGCTGTGATCTTGAAGAAATTGATCACGTTTTTCGACGTACCTTGGAGAGGATTAGAGACCGGGTTGTCTCCCTGATTGAAACCAGGTTTCCAAGGTACGTTTTTCTTATTATTGTCGACGAATTGATCTAATCAACATTTATTTGTTTTCCAGCGCCGTTAAGGATGCCGCCTTCGATCGTATTCGTGCGTGGTCTCCTCCGGAACCGCTGAACGATTGGGACCGTCTCGCCGATGAGATTATCGTCGGCGCGAGGCAAACGGGATACACGCGTTATGCTGGCTGTCATCAAAACATCCTCAAGCGCAAAGCAGAAGCAGATGAAGTGACCACCGGAGGTTCTGGATCTACGAAGAGGACCAGGGCAGCTTAGGGTTTCGTATGAACGATTGTCTCTCTTTCTTGTGTCGTCATGTTCACAATCGTGTTGCTCGTCTGATGGCATCCTTCCTATGCGTTTCACATCTACTCAAATGTAATCATATCCCATAGCTTTTTGTACACTATCGCAGAGAATGGATTTTTCCCCCTCCCCCCTCGCAATACTTAGTACTGGTGGTCTTGTTGTCAGTGTTCCAGTGTGTGTTGCGACTTCGTCTAAAAATTTCGACGGTTGGCCACGTCAAATGACATGTCAAGATAGTAAGTAGGATCTTGAAAGAGTTGCCCTGTCGCGGACGCCTGATATTATAATGTCTCATGTGCTTTCATTTACCGTACAGGCATTATGTATTGTCAGGCAATTTCTACGATGGTACGATGGACAAACACTGCGGTATTTACTGATTACTGCGACACAACTTCAAGAACGCGTGCCAAGATGGCGATTTGTTCCCGAAACAAGCTGACAAATTCTTTCTCCAATCTAAGATTTTCTACCAATGGATCAACACCTCCAGCTGTATTAGTTGCGCTGCTCGATAAGGCCACACACCGCTTCTTGGCAAAGTCCTGGCTCCGAAGGTGAGTTTGATTTTCCGGTTCAAATCGGCAATGTGAGAGACTTACCCCACCGGACCCGCAGCCAGAGTGCGATTCACCTGATAACGCGCGTTTCAAATTAGGCCTTTGGTTCTTGGGATCAGGTGAGTTTGTTTGATAATCCAGTGATCAATAAAATTTCAAAAAATTTCACGTACTTTCAGCATCAAATCAGGCTGTACATCTGCAATGCCAGGTACTTTTGGTGTTGGCGACCGCGGCCTAATTATGGACTCGGAATCATCCTGCACATTGAGACCTGGCTCAGATCTCGGCCGATGACATTCTGGAAGAATCTGGCTGTACATATAATATCCTTGTGAGTCAGAAGGTGCCCCTTGACCGTTTGCTAGGTAACGGAATTCGCGAGGACTTGGTGAGTCTCCTAATCCGAGAAGTAGTGATGTGTTGTTGTTGTATCTAGAGCTTGGGCTGCTAGGCTGCATTATGAAGAATTCAAGCGGGTTTAGTGATGACGCCGAAAGGCCGGTAGACAAAATTCGGTAGGTCATTATCTTTTTAAGCACTAACATTATCATACACTTTCTAGATTAATTGACTATTGCCTGGACGGAGTCATTGCTCCACGTACGGCAGCTCCACAGCAGCTCCACGGCGCTAATACTTTCAGCCAGGGAACTTTCGTAATGTTAACGTCCCGTACGTGTGCGGTGTAAGATTCTTTAAAATTTCCGCTATAAAAACAGGTACCACCAGGCCAATTTCGCACGGTCAAACCACACTTCAACTTGTGAGATCTAGCCATGTCCATGACATACGCTATCCCTACGGGACTCATGCGATCCGAATCACCTTCGGTGCGCTCGCTTGGTAGTGCCTCAAATCTATTCCAAGTTCCCTTCTCAACGACACCCTCGAGGAACACCAATAGTCCACCGGCAATCGCACATGATGGAATGGGACTTGGTATTGAGTTTTGGCAGCATTTAGTAGGTCAATCAACTACTTTTCCCGTTAACCAATTCTCATTGTATATAGCATCACATTACCGACCCCCACGCTGGATACCCGTCAGCGTTAATGATTGCTAAATCATCACATCGCGCCATGCGCAACGGCCGAGTTGCAGCTCAAGCTCGCGTGGATCAGTTCATGTTGTTGTTGAGAGCACTGTCCGAAGAACTGGAGGATTGGAAGTGGAAGGAACAGGAGGCCGAACAAACAATCTTGTCTTTGGCTCAAAAGAACGACACTCCACCTGCTGATCATGATGCATGACCCATGCAATGTTCGCCTGGTAACCATATATTAACTTATACATTTTTTTTTGGAATAGCAAACATCGTAGCGCTTGCTTTCCTTTGCTACTCATCATGATTAACGCTCTACGTACAGTGTAGTTGGTTTTGTATTTCTTATGTACATCAATCACGCTGGTACTACCAGTCCTTGCCATGACTGAGCGCTGAGCCTTTGTGGGAAAATGAAACCTTGTCACCTTTCTGTCAGGTGAGAATCGCAGTAATATTAATATTGCTTGTTTTCATTATCTTGTACAATTATGTAATGCCAAACCGCCGCATGGCACGCATGTGCGTGTGTAGTTTATGGCTGGCAATGCGGTTTCTACCGAGATATTTTCAATCTGAGTTCGAAACCTATAGCGAGATATTCCAACTTATCGTTTGTATCCCTCAGCTAGTACCACTGGACGCCCGCTCATTCCAGTTGCCGATACACGCATTACGCACGGCTCCGCATTATGCGGACACTTTCAGTTGCTCAGGCGCTGATCCGTGAACGTCAGCTGTTAACTTGTGCGACTAGGTCCCTGAGCATCAAAGGACGTCCTGGGAAGGCTCTTATTATATTTTATTTTGACTGCTATGGTTGTACTAATGCTTTATTCTAGATTGTTAACTGACTCAGGCGCCCAGGAGGTGCTGGTAGTGCTGTAGATCAGCGCATCGGCACTCATGATCGGGTGTATATTCATATTCCATCCTTCGGTTCTGCACCCATCATATTTGCACCAACAACAAGCGCTTCGGCTCATTATGTGCCGCTCTGCTGTGTTGCCTTGC